TATACAGGAGACCTGTTTATATGGTAGTAAGATGTAGGGGGAGGGGAAGTGTTTTACAATCCTATGATTAGGTCTTAGTCTTTTAGTGGTCCTTTGTCCCTGGGTGTGACTTTCTCAAATGCTTCTCAGCCTATTTTTTTCTCCTTAGGTGGGACAAGATGGCTAGAGGGGAGGCAGAGTTGGGTATTTCCTTTCCCCATATCAGGCTCTAGTAAAACCCAAATTGGTTAGGCTCTGGTAGATTAGCTTTCTGTGAGGACAGACCTTTGTTAAGGAGAACAGAACATTCTAGGTGTATTTCAGATAGCTTACTTCCTATCCACCTGCTGCAACACTGAGGAAGCTTTTCTCTGATCTTCATTCTGAGAACCTTGTGGACTCATGGAGGTAAAACTCATTAAAGTGTGGAGAGCCCCTGAAGTTTTTGTCTTTCCCAACCTAATCTGCACTCAGTCTTCATTCAGCAACCAGAAATTTCTGTGTTAACATTACCTTTGTAATATTTTTTCCATTGCTATTTAGAAATTACTCAAAGGTCTATAATGAATAACCTAAAAGTTTCAAAAGTCATGAAATTGAATGGGCTTTCTTACTTTCCTATCTCTCTGCAGCATTTGACAAGATTGATTTTCCCTTCCTTCAGATTTTTCTCAATTTCTTTAACCCTGAACTTCAGTAGTTTGCTAATTACCAGCCTCTTTTCTGGTTCCTCTTCTTCTCTGCCTTCAGTTTCTCTCCTTGGCCATAGTATCTTCTTTTTGTTTCTTCAGGCTTTTATTTTGGGACTTAATTCATTTATGATTATCTCCATGCAAAGATTCTCAAATCCGAATCTCCAGCTCTCGCTTTTGTGCCCTGAAATTCACTTTACTCTTGCATTTTCAGCTGCTACCAAACAGCTCCATCAAGATATCACTCTGATATCTAAAATTGAACATGTCTACAATTTAACTTATTGTGTTTTAGAAATAAAAACTATTTTAGTTATTACCCTAACTCTATAAGGCAGGTAGTATAATTAACCTCAATTTACAAATAGTGAAAGTAGATGGTAAGAAACTTGCCCAAGAACACATAGCCTATGAGTTATTGGATGAGTGTGGGTATTTAACTTAAATTGACCTTTTTGAGTTTTTCTCATTTGTAAAACATGGCCATTATATATATATATACATATATACATATATATATATATATCCCAAGTTATTATAAGAGTTAAATTAGAAAGCATAGGTGGAAGTCCTTTGGAATTTAAATTTTGTGTCATTAAAGTTACTAAGTCCTGTGATTTCTATATCTGCTATGTTTTAAGGACATTAAGAATATGTTTTAATCAGATATGATAAGACACATAGATATGGAAATGACTGTCATGAAGACATGAAGAAAGTAGTTTGTTTTTTTTTCTTAATGCCTACAGATTCCTAGAAAGAGGAGTCATGTTATGCCACGCTACACAGGGTAACTACATGTAGAAGCACCCAGGTCAGTCAGGAGGCAGAGACAGTTAAGGGGGAAAACCTGGACAAGAGTCTTCATTGTGATTTCTGTGGAGAGGAATGGACTAAGCAGTAAGCAGGTTTAGGATGGGCTAGTTTGAATAATTTTTGTGGGTTCTGAGTCTTAGAGGCTGTCTTTAGTTGTGTGGTGTCTGTCCCTGGGGTAATTAAGGCAGGTGGATATTGGCCTAGATTCTGAGAGCTAGGTGGGGGCTAGATAAAGGAGATGGTCTGAGTTGTCTCTAAATGGGTTTATTTGCATATGAAAGGTGTGCCTGCAGGCTAGACTAGTCATTAACTTAGAATTTTTTACCCCTGGGGTAGGGGGACAGTCACTCCAGGGTCAGTAAGTGCTTAGATATCAAAGCATCAAAATATAGAACATAAAAAAACATGCTTAATACATGCTATATATTGCATGTGTTTTATTTCTGCATTTGCCACACCAGATTAGGCTTTGATTACTTCTTACGTGGACTATTCCCAAATGATCTTAACTAATGGTCTTCTTGCTTCTAGTGTGTTCTGTATACCATTAAATTTTTCTAAAGCACACTTTTGGTCCCTTTACTTTTCTACTCAAAAACCAAAGGCACTCTCTTTTTTGTGTAATATATCTCAAAGACTTAGCCTGGTTATTTTATTTTTTCAAACTTTAACCTTGTTTTCCTTCATGCATCTAATTGAATCACATAAGGTAACCTGTATACATCACATACTTTTCTGCCTTCATGATTCACAGTGATCTTTGCTCAAGATGTATTCATATCCTGCTCCTGTATCCCTGCTCACCTTTACTACACACATACACGCATACCATACACTTCTTTTGAAGTCGATTTATCATTCAAAGCCTAACTCAGATGTTACCTTTGTGATTTCTCTGTTTACACCTCTGGCCGTAAGTAGACTTTATCACAACTGTCATTTGATCTTATATATACCTCTTTGAGGCAAGTGCAATTTTGTGCTTGTATTATAGTCACATACAATCTAGTATTTAGCTCTTCTCTTAGATTATAAACTCCTTAGAGTCCATATCCTATTTGTGTTAGTCCATTTTCTGTTGCTATGACTGAATACCTGAGACTGGGTAATTTATATAGAAATTTATTTCTTATAGTTCTGGAGGCTGAGAAGCCACAGGTCAAGGGCCCACATCTGGTGAGGGTCTGCAGAGTCCTGAGATGGCTCATGGTATCACATGGTGAGGAGGGGACATAGTGAGCCACTCCCGTGACAACTGACCTAATTTTTGTGATAACCCATTAATCACTAATCCTTTAATTCATTAAACTATGAATGGATTAATCGATTCATGAGGGCAGAACCCATATGACCCAATCACTTCTTAAAGGCCCTACCTCTTAATACATTGGGGATTAAGTTTTAACATGAGTTTTAGGGGGGGACAAACATTAAACCCATAGTAATACTGTATGCTTGCTAGTTCAGAGCCTCATGTATAGTGTTTTATAAATAACTGTTGGATGAATACATGAAATTAATTTGGTTTAGACTGGAATAACTTTCATCCCATTAAACTAAGAAGGGGCTTAATACAGGTACTTTTTCTGAAGCCAATTCTGCTTTTCCTGTTGGAATTATTTACTTGATATTGAGATTTATGTATGAGTAACATGCTATTGATATGCCTCTTTTTTACATAGACATGATAGGTATTTATTCTATAGATAACAGTTGAATACATTATATTTTCCAGTTGCTGCCCTAGATACTAAAGATATGGAAGTGAACAAAACAGATTAGGTCCCTGTTTCAGGAAACTCAAAATGTAGAGCTACATGACTTCTTGTAGCATGATTCCATTTTTCAGGCAGAACTTTCAAAGTGGTTATCTCCTCTTGAAAATCACTTTATTTACTGCCCGCTAATTTGCCTCTATAGAAACATCTGTATTTTCTAACAGGATATATGTGTTAATATCATAGATTGCTAATATAACTGACCTCTATGAATTTCTTTAAAAAATCAGTCTGGGCTGGGGATGGTGGCTCCGGTTTGTAATCCCAGCATTTTGGGAGGCCAAGGTGCGAGGATCACTTGAGACCAGTAGTTCAAGACCAGCCTGGGCAGCATAGTGAGACCCCAACTCTACAAAAAATTTTAAAAATTAGCCAGACATGATGGCATATGCCTGTAGTCTCAGCTACTCAGGAGGCTGAGACAGGAAAATTGCTTGAGTCCAGGAGTTCAAGGCTGCAGTGAGCTATGATTGTGTCACTGCATTCTAGCCTGGATGATAGTGAGATGCTGCCTCAAAAAAAAAAAGTAATCTGTACTTTCTGTCTCTACTTTTCTACTCTTTATCAGGTACAGTGCTAAGAACTGGGGATGTAATAGTGAACATAATAAATAGGTCCCCTTTCCATAAAACTTACAGTCTAAAGATTTTGGGGAGTTCAGTGGTAATATTCTCTCATAAGATCCCAGTAACCACCTAGTTGGTAAATCTAACATCATTCTTTGCTAATTTTTTCATTTCTATTTGAGTGCTTATAAAGGAATAAAAGAGGAAGAATTGCTTTGTGAGTTAATTTGATCTGATTTTATTATGCATCTATTTTTTTTTTTTTTTTGAGACAGAGTCTCGCTTTGTTGCCCAGGCTAGAGTGAGTGCCATGGCGTCAGCCTAGCTCACAGCAACCTCAAACTCCTGGCTCAAGCAATCCTCCTGCCTCAGCCTCCCAAGTAGCTGGGACTACAGGCATTCGCCACCATGCCCAGCTAATTTTTTGTATATATATTAGTTGGCCAATTAATTTCTTTCTGTTTATAGTAGAGACGGGGTCTCGCTCTTGCTCAGGCTGGTTTTGAACTCCTGACCTCGAGCAATCCGCCCGCCTCGGCCTCCCAGAGAGCTAGGATTACAGGCGTGAGCCACTGCGCCCGGCCTATTATGTATCTATTAAGTTTGAGATGCCTCTTAGACATTCAGGAGTAGACTATGAAACATGCATATGGCCGAGCCTGGTGGCTCATGCCAGTAATCCCAGTACTTTGGGAGGCAGAGGCAGGAGGATTGCTTGAGGCCAAGAGTTCCAGGTTACAGTGAGCTATTATTATACCACTGCTGTCCACCCTGGGCAACAAAGTGAGAACTCTGTCTCTGAAACAAAATAAAACAAAACAACAAAGCATGAGTATAATATGAAGATTGTGATGCTTTGAGTTGAATATAATAATTTGGGGATTATTCATTCTTTCAATAAACTAAGCAGCTACAGTGATACTATAAAATAAATATTTAGTCTTGGACCCATTTTCCTGCCATACAATTCCTAAAATCCTTAGAATCTCCCAAGTGGTGTCTTTTATATGCTAATGAATTGACTGATGGCTTGTATCTCCTAGATGGAGGATGCTTGTAGTCCCAGCTACTCTGGAGGCTGAGGCAGAAGGATTGCTTGAGCCCAGGAGTTTGAGGTTGCTGTGAGCTAGGCTGATGACAGGGCACTCACTCTAGCCTGGGCAACAAAGCAACACTCTGTCTCAAAAAAAAAAAAAAAAAAGAATTATGCCAGAAATTGTATTAGAGAGATAGCCAGTGGTTCAGGATATAAAACTCTTTAGAGGATGAAAGAAGGGAATTGGTAATGAGGGTAAACTGCCATAAGAAAGTGGAATATTTATGGTCATTGAAACTGTGGAATTTACTCAGGGATTGTATATATAGTGAGAAATGAGATAACTAGGGTTTGAGCCTAAGTGTAATCTGTAATAGAGGAACCTAACAAAGGCAAATGGAATGAGAGGATTGGATTTTGGTAAGGATAGTAGGACAATATGTCAAGGAGGAAGAAAATAAGAGAGTTGAAGTTAATGGCAAAACAGTGACTCAACTGATAAGTTGTAGATTCAGGATTTAATAGAGAAAGAAGAGAAATAAAAAATGTACTGATTATTTGGTAAAAAATGGAAGAGTCAGGTGATTAGAGATTTCAAGGAGTTTGAAGAATAGGAGACAGTGGTGTTACAGAATCCAATTGGAGAAGTCAATTTTAAGAAGGGGGAATGGTCAACTGTCAGATGCTACAAAGATATGTAGTGAAAAGAGACCCTTGGATTCAACAATTTGAAGGACTAGGTGATTTCAATGAAAGTAGTCTCTATACAGTAGAAGGGAAGAAAGCGAGCTAGATTATAGTTTTGGAGAAATAAGAAGAGTAAGTAGGTGGCATTATTGACTAATATTTTAAGAAGTTAGACTGAAAGGAAGGAGAGATACAGTAATAAGTAGAGGAAAAGATAGTTAAAGGAAGAATTTTTAAGTTGAGATAACTGGGGCATAATTATATGCCCACAGGGAAAAGACAGAAGGAAATATGATAAAGGAGACCTGGAATTACTGATGGAGAAGAGATCCTGGGAAAGCAGAAAGAGACAGATTTCAAAGTGCAGAGAAAAAGAATGGCAACGCTTTTGCTGAGAGAGGAAAAGAGAGATAAGGATGGATTGAGATGAGTTTATAGCAGGTAGAAGAAGAATTTAAAGAAAGTAGCAAAACAATTTGAAGGAGGTTTTACATGATTAATACTTTGTTTTTCAGAAATGTGGGAGTAAAGTCCTTTAGAGATGGAAGGGAGGAGGATTGGGTAAGATACTTTAAAAGAATGTAAATTTTAAATAGTACACAAGTGGAATTCATTTACTTATTTATTAAAAAATTTAGTGCCTGTGATATACTAAGCACTGTGTTGGGTGTTAGTAATACAGCAATGAACAAGACAAAGTTCCTGGCCTAAACATGCTCACATTCTGTAGAGGAGTAGGCAACAATAAACAAAATGTCAAGTCATGGTAAGTGCTATGAAGAAAAATAAAATATGGAAACTGGATTAATTATTGCCATTTAAAAACATTTATTCTTGTCTGATCTTTTATGATTTCAAAAGTAAAAGTATTATTAAAAATGATTTCTTTGAATCCATATTTCCTTTTTGTAATCTAAGGAAAAATCACCCTCATTTTATAGAAGTCCACATTATAGAGTACTAAAAGAAATAAAATGATAAGGTAGGTCCTTAAGGAGTTACAGAATAAATCCAAAAGTAAAATTATATTTTTTCTCTGGGATACAAGTATTTTGACCGTAACTTCTTTTTTTTTTTTTTTCTTTTATAAACTCTACTCGTGTGGAATGACCGTAACTTCTTATTAAAAATTATATAATTTGTGCAAGCAGGAACATGATACTCTTTCTCAAGTTTTATTTATTTATTGATGGATTGATTTTTGTAGTGATGGGGTACTCGCTGCGTTGCTCAGGCGGTCTTGAATTCCTGGTTTCAAGCAGTCCTCTCACCGCTGCCTCCCAAAGTGCTAGGATTACAGGCATAATAACCCCCTGTTCCCAGCTATTCAGGTTTTATTAATCATATTTAAATCTGCCTATGTAACTGCACTGTACACTCATTTGTGCTTACTATGTGCCTGATACCTCTTAACCACAATACATAAATTATTTAATCTTTATAACAATCTCTGAGTTAGGTACTATTATTACCTCCCCCTTCACAGATAAAGAAACTGAGACCTAGAAGAGTCAATGTAGAATTTGGATCTGACTGCGTGGGTTCAAATCTCAACAGTAGTAGTAATGTTGTCCCTTAAGCCTCTGTGACTTTATATAAAATAATATTAATAACTTCTTAGAGTTGTTGTGAGGGAAATGACATAATGTATGCAAACTCTTTAGAATTATGTTTACACATAAGATCTCAAGTGGCTATTTCTTGTTATATATTTAGATCGTTCATATGTTTCTGCAGGAAATTCTGCTTTTTTATCATTTGTTGATTTCTCTTTTCGATCCTGAATCCTCTGTATTATACTTTCTTTTTCTTATATTGGAACAGAACACAAGCAAGGAGGTCTATTAGCATTATTAGTCCAGCAAAAGTACCTTCAGCAAAAGGATATGTTAGTGCAAATCAAAGCCGAATGGCTGTGTCAAAAGTCATGGCAGTTGTACCTGAAACAAAAACAGAAAAAGTGAATACTCCCAGCACAAAGACAATGCAGGTAATATTCTTTAGAATTCTGGGTTTATTCGAAATGATACTATGAAAACTTTGATTGGAATAAAATAAAATATGCTGCTTTCTAATAATTACTCCTAATTTTGAAATACTGATTTTGTTAGCATTTTTACCATATAACATTCCTTACAACATAATATTGGCAGTTGGCACCTATGACTAGTTTTTGATAATAAGAATATTGGAGTGGAATGAGAAAAATCTACACATGACTTTAAGAACTAGTTGCTTGTGGTATTAATTACAGCTATTAATCATGCACTACAGCTGTCATCCACTCTTCTCAGCAATGTGCTCTTGAAAATATCACAAAATTGTCATCAAGTCAGTTAATTTGTCTCATTATAAAACTTAAAACTAAGGACTGACTTTTAAACTTTTAATTAAAATATTACATATATGCAGAAAAGCATATAATATATAACTTTGAATGTGTTAGGCTTTTTTTAGATATTATGTTAAAAGTATAGTCCATAAAAGATAAAATTGATAAATTGGACTTCATCAGAATCAAAACTTTTGTTCTTTGAAAGACACTGCTAAGAGAATGAAAAGAGACAAACTGAGAAAAATTATTTACAAAGCATATTCTGCTGAAGTACTTGTAACTAAAATGTATAAACAACACTCAAGACAATATTAAGACTACCCAATTTAAAAAAACAAGCAAAATACTTGAGCAGCACTTTACTATAGTAGATATACACATGGTATATGAACACATGAAAAGATGATCAGTATTAGTCACTAAGGAAATGAAAATTAAAACCATGAAATACCTATTAGAATGGCTAAAATTAAAAAAAGACTGACCATACCAAATATTGACAAGTATGTGGAGGAACTAAAATCTCTTCATACATTGCTGCTGGTACACATGAAAAATAGAAAACAAATTTGGCAAGTTATTAAATATTAAACATATACCTCCTATATTATCCATGTATGCCACTTCTAGGTATTTGCTGAGAGAAAAGAAAATATATGTTTATATGAACAGTAATACATGAATGTTCATAGCAACTTTATTTATAATGGCCCAAAACTAAAACAACTCAAATGTAATTTTAGTAAATCAATATTATGTATTTACACATATAATACAGAATATATATTTTTTTCAATGATGAAAGACTGAAAGCTTTTCCCCTAAGATCAGGAATAAGAAAAGGATGCCTGCTTTCACTACTTCTCTTCAGAATAGTAGTGGAGGTCCTAGCCAAGGCAAGTAGGCAAGAAAAAGACATAAAAGGCATCCAAATTAGAAAGGAAATAAAATTTATGTCTTTTCACATATGACATGATTTTATATGTGGAAAACTGTCATGATCACACACACATACACAAACTGTTAGAACTAATAAATGAATTCAGCAAAGTTGCAGGATAGAAAATCAACACACAAAAATCAGTTGCATTTCTAACAATGAATAGTCCAAAAAGGAAATTAACAAAAAGATTACATTTACAATAGCATAAAAAAAATGCATAGGAATAAACTTAAGAATGCCATAGATTTGTACATTGAAAACTACAAAACATTACTGAAAGAAAAGAAAGAGGACACCAATAAATGGAAAGACATTTCTTGTTCATGGATTGAAAGACTTACTAAGATGTCTATTACTCAAAGTGATCTACAGATTCAGTGCAATCCCCACCAAAATCCCAATGATATTTTTTTCAGAAATAGAAACATCCATCCTAAAATTTATATGAAATACCAAGAAACCCAAGTAGCCAAAACAATCTTGAATAAGAAAGAACAAAGTTGGAAGTCTCACACTAACTGATTTCAAAACCTATTATAAATCAATAGTAACCAAAAGAATGTGGTACTGAAATAAAGACAGACATACAGTATAGACCAATGGAATAGAATAGAGAGCCCAGAAATAAACCCTCACATATATGGTCAAATGATTTTTGACAAGGATGCCAAGACTATGCAATAGAGAAAGAAGAATCTTACCAACAAATGGTGTTGAAACAGCTGGATATTCCTATATAAAAAAATGAAGATTGATTCTTACCTTACACTGTATATAAAAATGAACTCAAAATGGATCAAAAATCTAAAAATAAGAGCTAAATCTATAAAATTCTTAGAAGAACACATAGGGAAAAAGCTTTATGACATTGGATTTGGCAGTAATTTCTTGTGTATGGCACCAAAAACGCTTGCAGCAAAACAAAAAACAGATATATTGGACTACATGAAAATCAGTTCATCAAAAGACAAAATCAACAGAGTGAAAAGGCAACTCAGGAAATATACCAAGTGCCCATCAATATATGAGTAGATTAATAAAATATGGTATATGTATACCATGCAGTATTATTCTGGCACACATACAAAGAATGGAAAACATCACATGTGCTCACTATTAAATTGGAACTAAATGATCAACACTCGTGTTCATATGGTAGTAAAAGTCAACAGAAATCAAGCAAGTGGGGGGGTTGAGGAGGGGATGGGTAAATTCACATCTAAGGAATATGATGCACACTGTCTGGGAGATAGACACACATAACTTTGACTTAAACTGTTCAAAAGTAATTCATGTAACCAAAACATTTGTAACCCCATAATATTCTGAAATTTAAATAAAAAGACAGCCCACAAGATGGGAAAAATATTTGCAAATCGTATATCTGATAAGGGGTTAATAAAGAGGATTTATGAAGAACTCCCAACAAATCAACAATAGAAAAAAACAGCCCAATTAAAAGATGAGCAGGCCGGGCGCGGTGGCTCACGCCTGTAATCCTAGCTCTCTGGGAGGCCGAGGCGGGCGGATTGCTCAAGGTCAGGAGTTCAAAACCAGCCTGAGCAAGAGCGAGACCCCATCTCTACTATAAATAGAAAGAAATTAATTGGCCAACTGATATATATATAAAAAATTAGCCGGGCATGGTGGTGCATGCCTGTAGTCCCAGCTACTCGGGAGGCTGAGGCAGAAGGATCGCTTGAGCCCAGGAGTTTGAGGTTGCTGTGAGCTAGGCTGACGCCACAGCACTCACTCTAGCCTGGACAACAAAGCGAGACTCTGTCTCAAAAAAAAAAAAAAAAAAGATGAGCAAAGGAATAGATATTTCTCCAAAAAGATATATAAATAGCCAACAAATACGTGAAAAGATACTCAACATCACTAGTCATTAGGGAAATGCAGATCAAAACCACATGAGATACCACTTCATACTCATTACGATGGCTGCTATTTAAAAAACAAAAAACAAGTGTTGGTGAGGATGTGGAGAAACTTAAACTGTTGTGTGCTATTGGCGGGATTATAAAATGGTGTAGCACTATGAAAAACAAATTGTCTTCCTCAAAAATTTAGAATTATCATATGATCTATGAATTCCACTTCTGGGATTATATTCAAAAGACTTGAAAACAGAGTTCAAACAGATATTTATACCACTATCTTCATGGCAGCATTATGCACAATAAGCTAAAAGGTAAAAGCAACTGAAATGTCCAACAGATGAATATGATACGGAGGATGTCCCAATGAAGGGAAGAAAGCCCCCTGAACTCACCAAGTGGGTTCTTGGCTTCATGCTGGAATGACCTCGAGAGTCATGACAGGAAAATTTCACTGAGACAGAGACAAACAACAGATCCTACTCCATAGACAGATTAGGGGTCCTTTCCCAAACAGGAAGGAGACCCCATATGGGGCAATGGTAACATTTCTAAATGTTCAGAAACCCCACTGGGACCAGCATTGTCTTTAGGTCAAGACATAAAGGTTAATCATAAACTGCTGTCACAGAAAGGTAAGCACAGTTTGTAAAGTATCTGGCTTAGTAATTCATTCATCCTTGGTGGTCCCGGACTCATGACTTGCTGGTGACTTCCTTGGTCATGGTGGCTAGGGGTCTGGTAGTGACCAAAATGGCTGTACTCGGCCTCTCTTGACCTTCCTTCTTGGCCTTATTGCTACATTAGATGGATAAACAAAATGTGGTATAGACATACAATTCAGTATTATTAAGCCTTAAAAGGGAAGGAAATTCCCACACATATTACCTCATGGATGAACCTTGAAGACATCACATTAAGTGAAATAAGGCAGTTACAAAAGGACAAATACTGTATGATTCCACTTATATGAAGGATTAATACCTACAGTAGACAGATTCATAGATACAGAAAGTGTGTGGTAGTTGCCAGGAATTCAGGGGGAGGGGTAAAGGGGAACTGTTTAATGGGTACAGTTTTGCAAGATGAAGAGTTCTGCAGATGGATGGTGATGATGGTTGTAGAACAATGTGAAATATACTTAATGCCAGTGAACTGTACATTTAAAAAATAGTTAAGGTGATAAATTTTATGTTATGAGTAGCTTACCACAATTTTTTAAAAAAGATAATTAGAGCAGTTTCCAACATAATAGCATTAAGAGCTTCAATGACCCATTTCCCAGTGAAATTGGTTAAAATTCTTTTTAAAAACAAGTATTTAATTCCTCTAGAAATCAATCTAAGGACAAACAGCAAAGAACCATCTATTCAAGAGAATCTATGAAAATTCAGTAAGGAAGGTAAGAGTCTACGGCATTTGAGCCAAGACCACCTTCTCCCTCCACCCTCCTAGCTCAGTGAGGCAGAGACTCCATTCCAGACTACTTTCATCCAGGAATGAAGGGCTCTCCCCTCACTCAGCTCCCACACAGAAGTATTTTCCCTGGAGCAAAACTTCATGTTTATCATCCTTCCCCCAGCTACTCATTGCTGAGGGTAAGGCCCAGATGACTGTGGTTGAGGGATGAGGTCTCCCTTCTTCCCATACTCTACTAGTGAGCTCTACCTTGACTCTGGCACACACTAAGAATACGAGGGCTTTCCTCTGGCTCATGAGGCAATGATTTCATGCCTAGAGAAGCAAACAGAGAAGACCCTAGGCTACTACCCGTTCCCTCCACCTAGCACTCAATGTCTAGAGTGCAAGGTTGTCACACAGAGAGAAACTTGTTATTTTCTCCAGCCTGAACACCAGAGACCTGGTGCAGAGATTTGGCCTGGGGGAAGAGCCAAGCTGTAAAACAGATAGCTCCTAATATTTTTCCAGAGGAACCAACTTCATTTGCAACAGATTGGTAGAGAAAAACATGATAAATTTGACTACATTAAGAATAAGAACTTATATTAATCAAATATACCATGAAGAAAATGAAGCCACTGAGTGAAAGAAGAAATTTGCAACTCATACAACTGAAGAGACTCATATTCAGAATATTTAATGAGCTATATTATCAATAAGAAAAAGGTCCCCCCAACAAATTGTGCAAAGGACTGGAATGGCAAATGTTCTCCGCTAGAAAGAAATTGTCCTGGGATTAAGTATATGGAAGGGATTTCAACTTTATTATAATAATATCACTATTCTCCACCTCCACATTTTGTCCCACTGGAAGGTCTTCAGAGGTAATAATACGCATGAAGCTGTCATCTCCTAGATAACAATGCCTTCTTTTGTAATAACCCCTGAAGGACGTTCCTAAAGCTGTTTTACAGTTAACTTTTTTTTTAATAAGTAAAAGGAGTGTACTCTAAAAAATAAAAATAATAAAAAGCATAGTATGGTAAATATATAGGCCAGTAACACCGTCATGTACTATCAGCTATCAGGCACTCCACATAATTGTATGTGCTATACTTTTATATTACTGGCAGTGCAGTAGGTTTGTTTATACTAGCATCACCACAAATATGTGAGTAATGCATTGTGTTACATCATTATGATGGCTAGGATGTCACTAGGTGATAGGAATTTTTCAGCTCCATTATAATGTTGTGGGACCACCACTGTATATGTAGTCTGTTGTTGGCTGAATAAGTTTGCAGCATATGACTGTAAACCAAAATTAGATAACAACTGGTAAAATATTTATTAATGTAAAGTGAAAAATAGTTTTTTAAAAGCTTATAATAAATTCACCAAATATTAACAATCTGGATGAATTATCTTTCCACATTTCTGCTTTTCCTGAAGTTAATATATATTATATATAAGCAAAGCATGAATAAAATTTTAAGAAAATGTGTGCCTAGTTAAGCATAAAATTATATATCATCCAGTTTTTCATGTTTATCCTATTTAGGAACATTATACTTTTCTTTTTTCTACCATACTTATTTCTGTTTTTTAGGACCTGTTATTTAGAAATCTAATCTTTAGTTATTTCATTTTAAATAATCATTTTCTACAGGTATTGGATGCAAATGGAGTTGATGTTACTCCTCGACCTCTTTACCATCCAGATCCACATAGTAGTACAACAAAGCCAAATAAACTCTTGACATCACAAGAAGGATCACATGGTTCAGATTTTATAGCTTCCTATAGCCTTTATCAGAATACAATGAATCCTAGTATGTTAGGGCAGTTTACAAGGTAAAGTATACTGTTCTATAGTTCTTTTTTGTATCATATATATTCTTTCCATTTAAATTGCATATATGAAACATACATATCAATTGTCTCCAGTCCTCCAGCTTGAATCTATCATCCTATTATGCCATGTCTTTGTTCCTTTCATGTTTTAATTAGATGCAGAACTCTTTATGTCTTGAGTTCCCATATACTCAGAACAAAACTTTTGTGAAAACTATATATATTTTACTCAAACTTTCCTGAGAAACCAAAATGTGGGACTAACATCACATATAGTTAATTGTAAATTCTTATTAGACATTTTTCTTTAGCTTCTTTTGCGCTGCATTTTATGGAAAGAGATGGCTTTCCTTTTTTCACCTACTCTCCCATGCAAATTTCTGTTCTGTTAGGGTTTGATTTCTTTCTTATTTTATAATACAGAGCAATTATATTCTGTTCTAGAGGCTGCCTCCAAATTTGCATACAAAAAACATGCACTTTTCCAGTAAAATTAAAGATACTCCAATAAACTTGACATAACCTTTTGGTGGGCAGTTGCGATTATAAATAGAAAGGGGAAAAAGCATGTATTATCATGGAGTAATGTTAAGTTCATTTGTTTAAGGAAATTATGTTTTGATTCTTCCATTGATTTCCTGCTGAATACATATGTTTGTAAATGAAATTTTAAGAAAGGACCTTTATGAAATTGAATAAATCACATTTTTAAGATGAGATTTGAACAATGAAGAGAAGCCAAGTGAAAAATGAAAAGTATTCTAGGCTAAGGCCCTGAAGTAAGAGAACTCTGTAAGATTGAGGAGCTGGGGAGGAAAAAAAGGTAAATGAAGAGTGATAATGAAGGTGAAGAAGGTAGGTAGGTGAATTTTGTATTTTGGTACTAAATATATTGGGAATTCATTGAAGGACTTTAAGCATAAGTTTGATGTGTCTTTCCTCTGAAAAATATTTTAAATAATTTAATGAACATTAGAAATAAACAAATTGTTTAAAAATTAATTTCAATCTATTTTACTTATTATAGTATATTTTATTTCTACATCTGACAATGTTCTAATTAACATGTTTAATTACCCTTAAGGATTTCTAAATAAATAAGTAATATTGATTATTAAAGGTCAGTTTTAGGAAGCAGTTCAGTTTCTAAGTCAAGTGCATCAACAACTGAATCGATAGCCGAAGACATAGAAGAATCATCTTTTAAGCGAGAAAGATTGACTAGTTTTGCAGGTAATAAAAATATAGTTGCTCATTTCAGTAACAGTCCATTATTTACTTAGCCAATATGCATATTATTTGTTGGGTACTTGAAATAAAAGAAGTATGGTAATGATTTCCAAATGCTGACTTGTGGAGTAGTTAACTACATGAGAATTACCACGGGAACATATCTCTATTTTTTTTTTATTTTAGCTAGAGCTCAGTTTCTAACTTGGGAGACCAATAATTCTGATACATTGTCAACAGTTCCATAATGATATATGTGGAATGTGATGAGAGGACTTAGAAAGGAATGATTAACTCCATTGAGGTGGGAGAAAAAAGGCTTCACAGAGAACATTATTGACTTTTGAATTGGGTTTTTAAAGATGATTAATCATTTGTCAGGAGAACAAATAGGGGAAGCCCAATCTAGGCAGAGGGTAAAATACGAGGTAATGCAAAGGATTATGAAAATGAAGGTACCAGAATGAGGAAATAATAGACGATCAGAAGTTCTGGGAGAAAGGATTACTTACTTGAGGGATACTTGCTTTGGAGTGTAATAAGGATGTCTTTTTCTCTGAAATGATGAGTAATTGGTGAGGATACCAAGACCCTACTTTTGGTGTTGGGCAATGGGTACTTTTGGTGTTGGGTAACAGAAATGCTTCTGACAGCAAATAACAGAATACACAACTAACATGAACTTAAATATTTATTTTTCTCACATTAAAAGAAGAGACAAATAGATTTTTGTCTTTGACTTTTTTGGCTCAATTTTTGTCAGAATTCGGATTGGGAGTTCTGCTATTCTCTTTCCTGAAGCCTTTTCTTCTTGCCTCATGGTCTCAAAGTATCTTCCCCAGCTCTGGTCATTTTATCCACATTAAAGGCAGAAAGAAGAAAAGCAGTAGCACCAGTCACATCTCTCATTTATCAGGAAAGTAAAAAAATTTCCTAGAAGCCTTTCCCCTTCCTTTGTATTTCTGCTTTCATCTCATTGGCCAGAACTGTGTCACGTGGCCACCCTTAGCTTCAGGAGAGGCTGGGAAAGCAAAATATCTGATTTCCCAACCTCTATTAATGGAAAGAGGCAAGGGAAGGGAGAAGGGGTAAGGAATAAAAACTTAAACAAATAGCAATTAGTAAATGATTTTTATTGTCATGTATTTTAGATTTACGAGTTACAAGGGCAACAGCTGAAAAAATAACAAAACAAGTGCTGGAGAAGAATGTAGAGATAATACTCACAGAGACAGAAACACTGAGATTCTTTGACTTGCCAACAGTCATGGTCTCTGTAGAAGCTGAAGAAGCTGAGAAAGTAGCGTATGTGTGGTTCAGTTGTCTATATAGCTTCTGTAATTCAAATGCTAAACCAGTTGTTCTTATCCTTTTTTCTGTGAAGGGTACTTGGGGATTCCTAGATATATGGGGGGAGGGTGTATTCCCAGAGAAATTATAAGTTATATAAGTGCCTTGTGAAATTATATGGAAAGTGTTTATGTTATATGTAAATTTTTCTAAAGGAAGAGCCCATAGCTTTACCATATTTTTAAATAATTAGGTGAACTTCTAAGCCAAATAATAAAAGAAATAAAAGAAGCTTTTAAGTCTCTATATAGGTTTTAGTTGTTTTTTATACATATATAAATTATTTTACATTTAATAAGAACTTAAATTTTAATTTAAGAAGGGAAAATATGGGGAAATGAATTCATTATGTTGGAGCAGTTTTTATTTCTCTTTATTAATAAATATAAATAGATTATTAGTTTTGGCCTCATGTATTTTGACACTCTATTGTTAGGCACATACACATTAAGGAGTGTTATGTTTTCTTCTTTTTTTAAATGAAACTATAAAACATGAGAATGTTATGTTTTCTTGTTGAATTGACCCCTTTATCATTTGGTAATTGCTCCTCTTTATCCCTGATAATGTTTCATGCTCTGAAGTCTGCTCTGTCAAAAACTAATATAGCTACTATAAATAGATTATTAATAGTTACTCAGATTATTTTGCCTCAAATATTATTTGAGTATGATTCATAGTAGTAAAAAATCTATCACTAAAATAGTTTTAGGATATTATCCCTTAAAATATAAAATACTATAAAAGTTATTTGGATTATAAAATATAGTACAATTAGATTGAGAATAGCATACTTTTAAATACTCATAAGAAGTAAGAGAAAACTCCTAGGATCCACTCCCCCAAAAAGGAAAGACAAAAACAAGAAAGGGATAAATAACTAATTTGAAATCAGAGAGACAGACAGATATGGAGGACAAATGTTAATATTAGCACATGGATCTGGAGCCCACTGGTAAGTCTAGAATTTCTCCCATAAAATTAAGAAAGCTGAAAGAGAGATTCTTGTATTAAGCCAAGACCCTCAAAAAGAGCTTAATTATCTCAGTTGGTCTTAGGTCAGTAGGGTCTTTTGGCTACTGTAAAAAGCAAACACAAATCTCTGGAGGAAAGCATACCCCATTAAGCTTTTAAGATTCCCTCAGATTGAATTTGGTAAAAATACACCAAACCATTGAAGAAACAAGTCATTATGGGTAATAATAAACAGAAATAACAAACCCTAGCTCTAGATCCTGAGGACTATAGATATTTATATTAACAGATATAGAATATAAAATATGTGTGAAATGTTTAAGCAAATAAGAGCCAGAGTTAAAACATGATTAACATTAAGAAATTATCAAAATCATGACTCACCTTTAGAAAAATATTTAAAAAACTTTAAAGTATGTTCATATAATTGTTGAAAATAAAGAGTAAATATTGATTTAAACATTATATTATACATAATTGAATGGAAATTTAGTGAATTAGAAAATACATCTGAATAAATTATACCAAATCAAGCTTGGAGAGAAAATGAGATATTAAATATGAAAGAGAAGCTTAAAAATGTTGATAATAGAATAATGGTCTAACATATATCTAATCAGAATTTCCAAAGAGCAGGATAGCAAGAATGGAGGAGAAGTACTATTCAAAGAGAGTAGGTAAGAACTTTCCCAAACTACTAAAAGACACCATTCCACAGAAATAGGAATAAATAAAAAGAAATCTACAAAAAAGAAATGTAATCAGTGCATTGCACTGGCACTCCAGAATACCAAATAGAAAGAGAAGATTATAAAAATAGAAGAAAAAATATAGGAAAAAAAAATCACCTCCATACAAACAATTATATTGACAGCACTATTAGGGATAGAGGTTACTTCCTAATGATTAAAGTAGAAGATTTAAACACATCTCTCTTAATTATTGATAGGTTAACCAGAGAACAAGTTAGTATGGATATAAAAATTAGAACAAAAACTTAATTTAACGGTCATATACAGACCTCTGCATCAAATAATTAGAGAACACATTTTAGTCAAGCATACATGGAACATTTATAAAAATCATCTATACACTAGGCCATGAAGCAAAGTCTCAAAAATTTCAAAGAAGTGAAATTATACAAACTAAATTCTCTGGCCACAATGCAATGAAGTTAAAATTTAATAACATAAACCACACAATGGCTCAGTCCTATAATCCCAACACTTTGGGAAGCCAAGGTGGGAGGATCACGTGAGGCCAAGAGTTTGAGGCCAGCCTGGGCAACATAAAGAGAACCCCATCTCTATTTAAAAAAAGAAAAGAAAAGGAAAACAAATTTAAGGAAATTAATAACAAAAGACTCAAAGAAAACACTAAAACAGACACACATTGACATACACATTTGGAATTTCCAAAGCATGTTTCTAAATTCCTCATGGACCAAAGAAGAAATCATAATAGAAATTTTAGAAGTATTCATAACTAAAACCTATGTGGAGTTAGAATTAGCATATTATTGGCAGGTATTGAAAGTAGTAGGGATGTTGGAAGGTACAGTATAAAAGACTTCATTGCAAGTCATTTAATGCAGTCTTTTCCAAAGGATTTTTTTTTTTTTTTTGAGACAGAGTCTCGCTTGTTGCCCAGGCTAGAGTGAGTGCCGTGGCGTCAGCCTAGCTCACAGCAACCTCAAACTCCTGGGCTCAAGCGTTCCTCCTGCCTCACCTCCCGAGTAGCTGGGACTACAGGCACGAGCCACCATGCCCGGCTGATTTTTATATATATATATATTAGTTGGCCAATTAATTTCTTTCTATTTTTTTTTTTATGGTAGAGACGGGGTCTCGCTCAAGCTGGTTTTGAACTCCTGACCTTGAGCAATCCGCCCGCCTCGGCCTCCCAGAGTGCTAGGATTACAGGTGTGAGCCACCCTGCCCGGCCTTTTTTTGAACTCTATCTTTATCTTTTGATACAATCCATATTAATGAAAGTATTAATAATTTTAAAGAAAAGAATAATATAAAAAGATGATATGTGTGATAATAATTTTTGATAAGTTGAGTATACTTTATGTTTTACAGCCAGAGAAATAGGAAATATGACATCCTTTGTAGAAATAGATTAGGCAATGACCTATATGTTGAAAGGATGATGCAGACTTTCAATGGAGCACCAAAGAATAAAGATGTTCAATGTGAAAAAATCATAATGGAAGACAAAGGTAATTTATTTTATTCTGCTTGATAAAATACCTTGTTTTAATATATGTTCTTTGAGTGTGTCGATCAATCAATAAATGTTGAAATATATAAAGCAAAAATAGAAATAATTCAGGCAAATCACAATAGTAGTTGAGTACTATGATCTATAGCTTTCAGAATTTGACAAATAAGTTAACAAGGAATAAAGAATAGAAGATTTAAATAACATAATTATCAATCTTGATTTTTATGCATGCCTATGTCATAGAACTTTGTATTTTTTAAATGTTCACGAAACATTTATAGAAACTGATTATTGGCTGGGTACAGTGGCTCACACCTGTAATCCCAGTATTTTGGGAGATCAAAGAGGGAGAATTGCTTAAGGCCAAGAGCCTGAGACCAGCCTGGGCAAGATGGCAAGACCCTGTCTCAACAAAAAGTAAAAAAAAAAAAAAAATTAGTGGGCATGGTGGTCCACACCTATAGTTCCAGGTTCTCAGAAGGCTGAAGCAGCATGATCACTTGAGCCCAGGAGTTTGAGGTTACAGTGTGCTACAATTGTGCCACTATACTCCACTCTCAGTGACAGAGCCAAGATCCTGTCTCTAAAAAAATAAAAGGGATCATACTATGATCCTCCCTCTGCCTCAGCCTCCCATGTTGCAAGGATTACAAGTGCAAGCTACGGCACCCAGCCGATTCTTCTTGGTAAAATATTGGAAATAAAAATCAAGCTTCTTGCTTAAATGTGAACCACCAGAAATAATAATTGCTATGATTGAATAAATATAAGGACCAGAAAATGGTGTTACCACAATTATTCACATTGTTTTGGCAGTTCCAACCATTTCTGTAAGACAAAGACAGATATGGAATGTTAATATTTATAAGGAGAAAAGCAAATTATCATTATTTGTAGGTACCTTAATGTCTACTTAGATACCTCAAGAGCATCAACTAAAGAACAATAGTTCCAGGATGATGCAGCAAAAATGGCAGAGTAGGTAGTTCTAACAACATGCCCCTCCACAGAGATGTCCCCAACATTGAGCAAAAACTGTCAGCATGAACTTTGTCAGAACCTGGAAAATAGTCAAAGGTCTACAACAACCAAGCAACTACTGAATCAAGAAAAAGTCAACTTAGAATTGCTAGGAAAGCTTTGTAGCATCTTTACTTGCTCTTGCCTACTTCCCTCCCTAGTGTGATCATGGTCTTAATGATAACAGCTTGCCTTACCAATTGGAGACCCTGGCTCATGGTTCCAGAGGGAACATAGCACATCTTATTCTCAAAGAATTTGGTTTGTCTGTTTTATCCTGTCTGGGGACTACCTAAAGGACTGATACAAGCATTTGTCTTTTTTTCGCTGAACTTGAAACTCTCCCAAGCAATAAAGCAGCTAAACCTAAGGCATTCCTCAAAAGCATCCTAAGGAAAATGAGCAATTGACTGCTACTTGAGGCAAGAGAATACAGTTGAGTCAGACAAGAGATATGTTAAAAAGCCTGAGAAAGAAAGCTGGAAAGTGAGTTTCTTTGGGAAATTAGAGTACTGAAAAAGACCTGCCTATATAGAGAAATTTAGAAAGTCACATGTATGCCAGGATGTGTACTCAGAAAAGATCTCAAAACATCCTAAGTCTTTACCTGTGGCTGATTTCTAGGCTTAGTACACATATGGAAGTGAAGACTAATGCATAGTTTTTAATAGTCTGGCTAAGTATTGAAGGAATATCTCAACACAGAACCAGTCTGCAGAGATTGGGAGAGGGTTTTTTCCTTTGTTTCTTTACTTCTTTTTCTTGGGGATAGGAGTGGAGTTGGTGAGGTGAGATCTAGGCATTTAAGGAAATCTTTTTCTGGGGAGTGGGGTGGGGGAAGCAGAGCCCTGGCTGGAAGCCAGGCACATGTGCCTACTCAAGGAAGTCTTCATCAGGACACTAGCTGACCACAAGCTAAAGAACAGAGACTTCTGAGATGACAAATGACAGAGAACACAGACTTTACAAAAGTAGTTTATTAAAAATCACTAAGTAAACAAACTATCGAAACTATAATACAAAAACCAAAAACTACAAACTGCAACTACTATCCATGGAAAACTACAAAAACAAATTCAGAGGAGCAGGAAAAATCTGAATTTAAGAGCCACCACATTATAATAATCAAAGTGTTAAGCTTTTCAACAAAAAAAATTACATAAGATACAAAGAAACCAGAAAATATGTTTCATTCAAATAATGACAGAAACTCTTCCTGAGGAAATGGAGACACTGGACTTAAGACTTTAGATCAGTTTATTAGTTTATTAAATATGCTCATAGAGCTAAAGGAAACTACATATAAACAGCTAAAGCAAATGAGGAGAATGATGTATGAACAAATAAAGAATATACATAACGAGATAGAAATTATAAAAAAAAACAAATAGAAATTCTGGAGATTAAAACTACGACAACTGAAATAGAAAAACTCATTAGAGTTTCACTAGCAGACTTGAGCAGGAAGAAGAAGCAATCAGTAATTCTTAAAAATAGGTCAATTAAAATAATCCAGCCTGAGGAGCAGAAAGAAAAGAAAAATGAACAAAGCCTGAGGGACCTGTGAAGCACCATCAGACATACCAAGATACACATAATGGGAATCTCAGAAAGACATTAGAGGAGAAAGATAAAGTGTCACAACGAATGTTTAAAGAAACAAAGGCCAGAAAATTTTCAAATTTGCTAAAAGCCATGAATCTGCACATTCAAGAAGCTCAACAAACTCCAAGAAGCATAAACACAAGGAGTTCCACACTGAGACACATTATAATAAGACTATCAAAAGGTGAAGAGAGAATCTTGAAAGCAGCAATAAAAAAAATGACTCATATGAACAAGGGATCCTCCATAAGTTTAACACCCAATTTCTCAGAAACCATGGAGAACAGAAATCAGTGGGATGACGTATTTAAAGTGACGGGGTGCGATGGGGGTGGAAACCCTGTCAACGAAGAATTCTATATCCTTCGAAAGGGAAGGAGAAATAAAGACATTCCCAGATAAAAGCTAAGGAAATTGGCTGCTAGTAGAACTGCCTTACAAGGAATGCTAAAGGGAGACCTTTAGGCATAAATGAAAAGACACTAACTTAACAGTAACTCAAAGCCATATTAAGAAATAGAGAACACTAGTTAGGATAACTACATAGGCAAACACAAAAGTCAGTATTATTATAATTTTGGCTGCGAATTCCTCTTTTTTTTGCAATATGATTTAAAAGAAATATATAAAATAATAATTATAAGACAATGGGCACACAATGTGTATAGATGTAATTTGTGAAAACAACATAAATGGGGGGAATGGAGCTATAAAGCAGAGTTTTTGTATACTTTTGAAGTAAGGTGGTATTAATTTAAAACAGATAGTTAAAATTTTAAGAAGTTAATTGTAATCCTCAGAGTAATCACCAAGGAAAGAACTAAAAAAATTACAGAAAAGAACACGTGAAAGGAATCAAAGTGGCACAATACAAAAAGTTAAACTCATAAGAAGGCAGTAATAAAGGAATTGAGGAACCAAGAAGAGAAAAGACATAAAGAATACAGTAGCAAAATGGCAGAAATAAGTCCTTTCTTATCAGTAGTTACTTTAAATATATTATAAATGAATTAAACTCCAATTAAAATGTAGATTGACAGAATGGATTAAAAGAAAAACAAGGTGATCCAACTATATGCTATCTACAAGAGACTTACTTTGCTCAAAAGACACAAATGTGTGTACAAGAATGCAAATCACAACCAAAATAAATCTGAGATGGCTATACTAGTATCAGAAAAAAATAGACTTTAGAGAAATTATTGCAAGGGAAAAAGAACATTATAAATTCATAAAAGATTCTGTTCATAAGAAAGTATAACAACTGTAAACATATGCACACCTAACAAGAGAGCCCCAAAATAGATGAAGCAAAAATAGACAGAATTAAAAGGAGAAATAGACAATTCAATAATAGTTGGAATTTTAATATGCTAATAATGGACAGTTAGAAGATCAACAGAAAAATATAGGACTTGAATAACAATATAAACCAACTAGAAATACTTAACATATACAGAACACTTCATCCCAGTAGAGCAGCATAGACATTTTTCTCACATTCACATGGAACATTCTCCAGGATCCTATGTTAGGACACAAAATAAGAGTTGATAAAATTATAAATATTGAAATCATCCAAAGAATCATTTCTGACAACAATGTAATAAAACTGAAAATCTACAACAAAAGATAAAGTGGAAAATTCACAAAGATATAGAAATCAAACAACACACTCTTAAACAATCAGTGGCTCAAAGAAGAAAGCACAAGGGAAACTAGAAAATACTTTGAGACAAATAAAAATGAAAATGCAACATACCAAAATTTATGGAATGTAGTAAAAGCAATACGTAGAGGGAAATTTATAGCTGTTGATACATTAAAAAAGAAGAAAGATCTCAAATTAATAGCATAAATTTACACCTTAAGGAATTAGATAAAGATCTAACTAAATCCAAATCTAGCATAAGAAAGGAAATAATAAAGATTAAAGTGTTGGTAAGCAAAATAGAGAATAAATAAAGGAGAAAATCAACAAAAGCAAAAGTTATGACTTTGAAAAGGTCAACAAAATTGACAAAACTGTTGCTAGATTGAGTAAGGAAAAAAAGGGAGAAGACTCAGTTTACTAAAATTAGAAGTAGAAGTAGGACTACTTTACAAAAATAAAATGAATTATAAGGGAATATTATAAACAATTATGTGCCAATGAATTATTAATAGATGACTAAATGAAATGGATAAGTTCCTAGAAACACACAAGCTACCAAAACTCTATCCAAGAAGAAATAGAAAATCTAAACAGATCTATAAATAAAGAGACTGAATTAGTAATTTTAAAAAACTGTCATTAAAGAAAATCCCAGGACCAGATGGTTTTACCAGCAAATTCTACCACTTATTTAAAGAATAATTAGCATTAATTCTTCCAATAACAATCTTTCAAAAATAGAAGAGAAGGGAATACATCCAAACTCATGAGGCTTGCATTACCTTGATACTAAAGCCAGGTAAAGACAACACAATAAAACAGAACTACAGAACAATATTCTTTATGACTTTGATAAAACAATCTTCAAAAAAATACTTTCTTTCACTGTATAGGGGGGAAAATACTAATAACCTGAAACCAACTGCCTATTAAAAGGATTATACACTATAATCAAGTGGGATTCAACATATGGAACTAAATTAATGTAATATACAACATTAATAGTATGAAGAAAAAATTCATGTGATTATTTCAGTTGATGCAGAAAAATTATTAGGCAAAATCTAACACTGTGACATGATAAAAAAAAAAAAAAACTCAACAAACTAGGAATAGAAAGAAATTTCTTCAACCTGATAAAGGGCATTTATGAAAAACCCACAGCTGCTATTATCTTCAATACCTGGAAACTTTCCCTCTAAGATCAGGAACAAGACAAGGATGCCTACTTTATCAATTTATATTCAACATTACTGGAAGTACTAGCTTAAGCAACAGAAAAGAAAAGAAAAGAAAAGAAAAGAAAAGAAAAGAAAAGGAAAAGAAAAGAAAAGAAAAAGAAAAGGCATTAAGTAGGAAAGGAAAAAGTAAAACTATTTCTATTCGAAGATGACATGATCTTAAATATAGAAAACACTAAAGAATCCACATAAAAAATCTATTAGAGCTAATAAATTGAAAAAGTTGCAGAATACAAGATCAACAAACAGCACTCAGTTGTATTTCTGTACAAGAATAATGAACAATAAGGAAATTAAGATGATTCCATTTACAATAGCATCAATAATAATAAATATGTATGAGTAAATTTAACCAGGTAGATGAAAGACTTGCATACTGAAAGCTACAAAACATTGATGAAAGAAATTAAAGAAGATACCAAAAGATACCTGTTTATGTACTGAAAGATTTAGTATTGTTCAGAGATCAATACCACTCAAGGTGATATACAGATTCAGTGCAATCCTTATCAAAACCCCATTGACATTTTTGCAAAAATAGAAAAAAATCCTAAAATGCACATGGAATATCAAGGAACCCTGAATAGCCAAAACAATCTTGAATAAGAAGAACAATGAGAAGTAAGTTTTCTTTAATAGTATGTAACTATAAAATTAGAAAGTCATATTCATTATTACCATTTTTTTACATGATATTAAGGCATGTAGTTTGAGATTTTATTTATTTATTTATTTTTATTTCAGGAAAATAAGAAAGTACAAACATTTGGTTGCATTTTTGGTTGCAACTTTGCCTCTCCCTACAAGGGTTAGAGGTATACCCCTCCCCTCCACAATGCTCACCACATCCCTCAGTTGTGAGTCTACCCCCCAACTCCCTAATCCCTGGAGAACACCACCACCATTTGAACACCATAGTGTTTATCAGTCAGTACCAATTTGATGGCGAGTTCATGTGGAGCCCATTCTTCCGATCTTGTGTCACCTCACTTAGGATAATGGCCTCCAGCTCAATCCAGGAAAATATAAGCGGTGCTAGATCACTGTCGTTTCTTATAATTGAGTAATATTCCATTGTATACATATACCAAATTTTAACAATCCACTCATGGATTGACAGGCACTTGGGTTGTTTCTACGTCATTGCAATAGTGAATTGTGCTGCCATAAACATTCGGGTGCAGATGTCTTTATTATAGAATGTCTTATGCTCATTTGGGTAGATGCCTAATAATGCTATTGCTGGGTCAAATGGTATTTCTATTTTTAGCTCTTTGAGGTATCTCCAAATTCTTTTCCACAGAGGTTGCACTAATTTGCAGTCTCACCAGCAAGTGTAAGAATGTTCCTGTCTCTCCACATCCTCACCAGCATTTATTGTTTTGGGAGATTTTATTTTTTAACAGCTTTACTGTGGTATAATTGATATGTAAAAACTGCAGATGTTTAATATATACAATTTGATGGGTTTGAGATTTTTGTACCTAAACTAAAATTAGCAGTCATTTGTTATATTCAAATAAGAAACCCAAATATCTTGGGTTGCTTATTTATGATATGTACATTTATTTATGTAACAGTTATTTTATTAATGACCATATAACAATATATTTCTATATGCTAAACTTACTAAACTTTCAGTTAAAGGGAAGAAAAAGGGAATTAAATATTCAAAGATATAATTTCTTTCCAAGATCTTTTCATAAAAATGGAAATTGTACCCTTTTCAATTTGACAAAATATACTAGTTATCCTATGCATGAGTTTATTAGATGGTATTAAGTTCATTAAGATAGACATATTAAGAAATTTGAGTTTACATTCTTACCCATTGAAAACATCAAGATATTAGAACTCATTCATTTTATATTAGGAAAATAATAGTCGTAGTAATGAAATTGCTGCAATTATTAGATCCAGATTCTATTTTTATTTTTAAGGTAAAGATCACTATTACTAGATCACTATTCTTTAACTGCAAGTTTGGTAAATTTAGCATGTAGGAACATATTGTTACATGATCACTGAAAAAATAATTGCTGCACAGAATTATAAATCAGCAGTAAAAGAGGTTAGGAGCTTTTTAAAGGATTATTTTAAGAGAAATAACATAGCCAGTTTTTGTTTGGAGACCATTGTTATATTCGATAATCTGAACACAGTTAACTAACTTAAACTAAAATTTTAAAAGATGCCCATCAATCCAAGAATGGATTAATAAAATGTGGTATATGTATACCATGGAGTACTATTCAGCTCTAAGAAACAATGGTGATATAGCACATCTTATATTTTCCTGGTTAGAGCTGGAACCCATACTACTAAGTGAAGTATCCCAAGAATGGAAAAACAAGCACCAGATATATTCTCCAGCAAACTGGTATTAACTGAACAGCACCTAAGTGGACACATAGGTACTACAGTAATAGGGTATTGGGCAGGTGGGAGGGGGGAGGGGGGCGGGTATATACATACATAATGAGTGAGATGTGCACCATCTGGGGGATGGTCATGATGGAGACTCAGACTTTTGGGGGGAGGGGGGGAAATGGGCATTTATTGAAACCTTAAAATCTGTACCCCCATAATATGCCGAAATAAAAAAAAAATTTTTTTTAAAGAGAAGATAATAACCATACTACTGTACAAGCTTTTGAGATCAGAGTCTATTATTTTCCCAGCAAGTACAATCTTTTCATATAATAGTTATTTGGGAAATTTTATGTGGTAAAAATGGAATCATATGCTTGCAAATAAACAGATCTGTGGAGTATGACATATTATATGTTAACCGTAAGTAAAGGAACATAAAAATTCTGTTATAACATAGTTGCCCAGGTTCATATCACCGAGGCAGTCCTATAATTACAGACATGAGATTATGTTACACCAGTGTGGGTAGAGGGGAACGATGTGCAATGGTCAGAAAGGATGGTGAGGATAATTTGGAGCCACCCCTAAAGCACTAAGGTATGTGTAGATGCTATTAGTGTGCTGACTAAGGATCTCTTGAGGTGTCCTTATGTTTTATTTCTTTGTCATTTTTATTCACTTCCTGGTATTATTGTAAAACAATAGTGTTTTTTTAAATAAATAGTAGATATTCTTTTTTAAAAAATAAAAAAGGTTTTTTAGAGGTAGGGTCTCACTATTGTAGACCTATTCTTAGATCTAGGCTAGAGTGTAGTGCTATTCTTAGATGTGATCATGGCACACTATTACCTCTAACTCCTGGCCTCAAGCAATCCTCCGGCCTGAAGCAGTCCTACTCCTTCAGCCTCACAAGTAGCTGGGGTTACTGGCACAGGCCACTGTGCCCAGCAATAGTAGATATTATTTTAAATTTTGCTTTGACTAGCTATGTATAAAGCTGAAACATGGGAATTTGGTTTAAAGTAATCTTTACCTTTTTGTCTATTTAGGTGTAATGTCTACTGCCTGGGATTTGTATGATTCTTATAATACTGTGGAACTTTCATCTTTATCAGTAAAACAATCTATTATTGAGTCAGGTAGTAAAGCAGGTATACTTCCTAAAGATCGAGACCAAAGATCACGAGGGAGCACTCTGGATAAAAGTAAGTTTCCTTTATTTCAGTTTTTTAAAATGATTTTCATATGACATTTTAAATAAATTCTGTTTTTGCAGTTATGATACAATGTTTTCTTTCTGATGGACCATGAAAGGTACAACTTTTACTCAGAAATAGCATTGTTACTCTTTCACATCGTCTTAGACTTGACAGAAAATTGTATTTTTTATTGGATACCTGTCAAAAGTTTCTAACTTTCTCTAGTGCTTCTTTACTTGCTCCTAAGCTCTCTTACATACATGTGAGTTTCATCATTTTCTTTCTCTCTTTCTTTAGAGTAGATAATTTATAAGAAAAAGAATATATACTACTTATAAATGATGACCACTTAAAATGGAGATACATTAACAACAATGGCTCTTAATTTGGGGCTATGTTACTTCTCCGGGGGACATCTGGCAATGTCTGAAGACATTTTAGGTTGTTAGGACCACCAGTGCATCTTGTGCTTAGGTGCCAGGGATGCTGATAAAAATCTTTTACTTCACAAAATAGCCCCAACAATAAAGAATTATGCAACCCAAATTTTCACTTTCCCTATTGTTCTTTTTTCCTTTGGAATTCTGATGTTCCAAAATTCCTTTTCTCATTATCTTTGTTTAGAGAACTTCTTTTAATCATTCTTAGAGAAGATTTTTTCTTTGGAGATAAATTCTCCTTTATTACTTCCCCTGAGAATACGGTATCTGAATTTCCTCTTTATTTCCATAGAGTATCTTCATTGGTTATAGAATTCTGGACTGACAGTTCTTTTCATTCAGAACTCAGAGAATAGGTACCATTTTCTTCTGGCCTCCAGGGTTTCTAATGAGAAATATGCTGTTATTCAAATTATTTCCCCCCATCATTTCTCTCTAACTGTTTTCTAAGTGGTTTTTTTCCTTCTTCTTCTGTTTTTAGGAGTTTGAGTATGGCCAGTTGTGGTGACTCAAGCCTGTAATACTAGCACTTTGGGAGACTAGGGCAGGAGGATCATTTGAGGCCAGGAGTTCAAGACCAGATAGGCAACACAGCAAGATCCCATCTCTACAAAAAATTTTTAAAAATTAGCCAAGTATGGTAGCATGCACCTGTAGTCCTAGCTATTTGGAAGGCTGAGGCAGGAGGATCACTTGAGCCCAGGAGTTTGAGGCTGCAGTGAGCTATGATCAAGCCTTTGCATCCCAGCCTGAGCAACAGAGCAAGACCCCATCTCTTTTTTAAAAAAAAGTTTGAGCATGATGTGTCTTGGTGTATAGTATTTCTCTGGATTTATCCTCTTTGAGGTTTATTCAGTTTCTTCAATCTATTCATTATTGTCCTTTGCCAAATTTTAGAAGTTTTCGGTTATTAATTTCTTCAGGTACTTTTTCAGTCCCACCCTCTTTCTCCTGTCCTTCTTAGATAACAACAACATGAATGTTAGCTCTTTTGTTACAATCTCATGAGTTTCTGAGGCTCTGTTCATTTCTCTTTTTTTTTTTTTTTTTTACACATACCAGTCATCTTTTATTTGGAGGTCAATTGTCACTAGAATATGAAAGGATTCAGCAATGATGCAGTTCCTTACAGAGGGTGCAGGGCCAAGAAGGTCAAGGTCACGAGTGCAGAGTATGCCCCCCACATGGTCCCCTCTTCAGTGGTACTTGCGTCGCCGCTCATGTTTGAGCTCCTTGTAAGAAAGGCAGTAGTTGAAAAGCACATAAGCTCCCAGTATCATAGAAATCCCAGCGAAGCTCCCCTTCTTCACATCGATGTACTTGTTGTAATACCGGTAGTAACCTCTTCGAAAGGCCCCAACAATGCCTTTAGGGGTGAAATCCCGCATCAAAATCCAGCTTGGCAGCTCCCCTAGTTTGACATCCATGAGTTTCTTCTCCTTCACTGGTACGGCTGACGCCATCTTGAAGCCCTGATCTGTTCATTTCTCTTTATCAGACTACATTTTCTGTTTTTGAGACTGTATTATTTCTGTTATTCTCTCTTCAAGTTTACTGATTTATTTTTTTCCTCTGTCCCCTTCATTCTGCTGTTGATTCCATCAATTGAGCTTTTAATTTTGGTAATTATATTTTTCAGTTCCAAAATTTTCATTGGTTCTTTTCATTTGCTAAGACTTTCTAGTTCTTTGATGATACTTTCTATTTTTTTCATTTGTTGCAGGACATGTTCATAAATACTTGTTGAAGCATTTTTATGATGTCTACTTTAAACTCTTTGTCAGAGAATTCTACCATCTCTGTCATTTCTATATTGGCATCTATTGTTTTGTTTTGTTTTTTCATTCAAGTGAAGATTTTCTTGGTTCTTAGTATGAGTGACTTTCAGGTAAAACCTGGACATTTTGGGTATCGTGTTATAAGAGTCTGGATCTTTTTAAAACTTTCCATTTTAACAGGCTTTTTTGGACACTGTTCTGGCAGGGGATAGTGGGGGGCACTGCTTCATTATTGCTAGGCTAGGGTAGAAGTTCAGGTTCTCCATATGACCTCCAATGACACGTGAGGGAGGGGTATTCTCATTACTGCTGGATAAGCTCTGGTTTCCATTGATACCTCCATGGCTGGAAGGTATAGGAATGCTTCATTACTGCTCTACAGATGGCCTCCACTGACACTACGGAGTGGGGATTGGTCTGCCTTGTTACTGCCAGGTAGTGATGAGAGTTCTGACTCTTCTCCAGTCCAACTCTGGATACTTCAGTGGAGAGAGTGAGGGGCACCTTGTTACTTTTAGATGGGCATGGAATTCCAGCCTCCCCAACTGGTATGTACTGACACTGTAGGAAGGGGAGCACTCTCATTATGTTTTGTAGGAATAAAAGTCCTTGCTCCCTACTGGGTCTTGGCTGACACCACACACTGAGGAGGGTCAGGGTATTGCAATGCATTAGTAAAGCCTGGTGAGGCTGGAAGTCTCGGTTCCCATGTGGCCTTTGAAGCGTGGATGGGGCTACAGTTTTTTTCCTGTTTGGCTGGAGTAGAATGGCCATCATCTAAAAAGCTTTCTTTCTTTCAAGGCTGCTCCTTTAGTAGTCCTTTGGTTAGAGAAAGGAGGCTTCTTTTTGGGATTTTCTTTGTCTGTGCCCATTGGTGTTTCCATGTTGCTGGCTTCTTCAGTGTCTTGTCTGGAATACATGAGGCAAAAAGAATACCCATGCTTTCTCTCTACCTTTCAAAGGCTCCTTAATTTTTATTTATGTGATGTTCAGTGTGTTTAGTTGGATTTAGTAGAAGGAATAAAGAAAAGTGTGTTTATTCCATCTATGAAGATGAGGAAGCAGGAGTCCCCTTCATTGTGTTTTTAAAATAAGAGTTTACTAAGTGTGATAGGCAGAAAAATAGTCCCCCAAATTTGTGCACATCCCAATTCCTAGAATCTGTGAATATACTACCTTACATGGCTAAAGGGACTGTCCAGATGTGATTACAATAAGGATCTCCAGATGGGGAGATTATCCTGCACAATCTGATTGGGCTCAGTATAATCATATGGGTACTAAAAAGTGAAGGACATTTCCCAGTTGTGGTCTAAGAAAGAGATGTAATGACAGAGGAAGGTCTAAGAAATGCAACCCATGTTGCTGTCTTTGAAGACGAAAGAAAGGTTGTGGGTGTCTTCTAGAAGGTAGAAAAGTCAAGCAAAACAATTCTCCTTTAGTGCCCCTAGAAAGGAACATAGCCCTGTCAACTTCATGGTTTTAGCTAATACCTATATCAGATCTCTAATTTATAGAACTGTAAGTTAATAAATTTGTATTATTTTAAACCACTGTATTTTGCAGCAATAGCAATACAGTAGTGTAGTATTCCTGTAAGATAATCATCAAATCAGACCTTTAACTGGAGACTGATAGTCTTATTTCAATTTGAATAAAAAAGCATAGAGATACAAATTACCTCATGGGGTTATCATTGCTTATCTTCTGAAAAACAGTACATTTTTTGATGGTTAAGAATTCTAAAATGAGATAATATATGTGCATCTTGCATGTGTTTGGTACTTAAAAGATATTCAATAAGTGTGTATTGATGTTGTTGCAAATAGGAGGAAAACAAATACAAATGATGAAATGTCATTTTTTAAATCATTAGAATGTATGAACCATCTAATATTATTTGGATATTTTATCATTGCATCATGTTTGTATTTTACAGATAGTGAAACTAGTTCTCTAATGGATATAGAAAATGTAATCCTAACAAAGATCCATGATGATGAGGAAGACCAATCAGCTGCAATATTAAAATCTGACAAATTTCATCAAGACTTATTTTTTATGGAACGGGTTCTAATGGAAAATATATTTCAGCCCAAACTTGCAGCTTATCGTCAGCTTCCTGTTTTTAAAGGTATTTTAAAAAAATAATCACATGTAAACAAACTCAAATAATTTTAAAAAGTAAATGGTATTATTATATATTTCTAAATATAATCTCTAGACTAAGTTATCACTTATCAGAAACATGTTTACAAAGCTTTCAGCACTAAACATGTGAGTAGCAGTAGAGTCCAAACTAGGGAGCCCACAAAAAAAGGTTGTCCCTTAGATTCAAAACTTCATAAGCATCTATGGCTCTTTTTCTCCCTTCTTCCTGCATTACATTATTAGTTACTTATTTTTACAGTATTTTACTGTATTTTTACAGTATATTACATAGTTACTTATTTTTACAGTATTTCTGTAAAATATGTTTCTGTTGCCCTTGACACTGGCTTTTATTACCACTCCCTAATTTTATTAGCATTCTTCCTATTCTCATTGCTATGAATCTCATTTCATATGATCATAGAATATTTTAAAGGATTTTAGATGTTATCTAATTGAACTTTTCAATACGCGAATAAAGAAAATGAAGGTTATAGAAACTTTGCAAGATTACATAGTGAGTGGCAAAACTATCATTCAACCAAAGTCCAACCAAAAAAACACAGCATGGCATCAAACTGCTCAAAAACCTTCAGTACCTTCCCAATGACCAGAATAAATTATAAACCTCAGAGTATATCATTCAATGATACCTGCAATCTGGCCACAGCCTACTTTATATCATTGCATTACTTCGGTGACTCTAAGAGTTAGCCATATTAGATTTACCTGGCAATCCCCAGATAGGACCTAAATTTTCCTGCCTTAGTACCTTTAGTTGGAATTTGCTTAATAGCCCACCCTTGTCCCCACCGCATTTTTGCCTATTGTATTCCCAGCTTTCCAATATGGATTAGAGTAAACTCCTTCATAAAATCTTGATTCTTCAAATCAGAATTAGTATATATGGTTACATCAAAAAAATTAGGTTACAGAGTAGTATGTATGACAAATGGTTGTAAACCTTTTTGCCTGCATACATCTAGAGAAATATTAAAAACCTATGTTCCTTCTCTCATATTAGGTTAATATTTAAAAATTTTTATCATATATAAATTTTCATCCTGTATTTGAAGAGTCTTAAGGTTACAATTTACAGAGTACTGTAAATATTGACATTTACAAAACAAAACTGTTGATATATAACTCCTTTTAATGTGTCTAAGAAATAGAAATACCATAGCAAATGTTTTAATGACATACAATTTACATACAGTGAAATGCATGTTTTAACTTTTTTTTTTTTTTTTTTTTTGAGACAGAGTCTCGCTTTGTTGCCCAGGCTAGAGTGAGTGCCGTGGCGTCAGCCTAGCTCACAGCAACCTCAAACTCCTGGGCTCGAGCGATCCTTCTGCCTCAGCCTCCCAAGTAGCTGGGACTACAGGCATGCGCCACCATGCCCGGCTAATTTTTTTTTTTTTTTTTTTGAGACAGAGTCTCACTTTGTTGTCCAGGCTAGAGTGAGTGCCGTGGCGTCAGCCTAGCTCACAGCAACCTCAAACTCCTGGGCTCAAGCGATCCTCCTGCCTCAGCCTCGAGTACTGGCTACAGGCATGCGCCACCATGCCCGGCTAATTTTTTATATATATATCAGTTGGCCAATTAATTTCTTTGTATTTATAGTAGAGACAGGGTCTCACTCTTTTGAACTCCTGACCTTGAGCAATCCACCCGCCTCAGCCTCCCAAGAGCTAGGATTACAGGCGTGAGCCACCACGCCCGGCATGTTTTAACTGTTTTTAAATACATTTTGAAAATGTATAAAGCCATGTTACCAATACGCTTATCAAGGCAGAGAACATATTCATCAACCCTAAAAGTTACCTTGTGCTATTTTCTAAATAAACTTTAACCCTCTTGATCCAAATCCAACCCTGCCCAGGCAGGCATTGACCTGATTTTGATCAACACAGATTAACTTTCTCTATTCTGGTATATCATATAAGTAGGTTCAGATAGTAAGTATTCTTTGCATCTGGCGTCTTTCACTCAGCATTAATGTTTTTGGGATTCATCTAGATTGACATGTGTAAAAGTAGTTCATTTGAATATACCATAATGATTTCTTTATCCATTTGCCTATTGATAGACATTGGATTGTTTTCATTTGGGGGCTATTATGAGTAAAGCTGATAGGAACATTTTAGTGTGAACCGTTTGGTATGCAAATGTTTTAATTTCTCTTGTAAAAATACCTAGGAATTGGGTCATTGAGTAGATGTTTAACTTTTTTAGAAACTGTGAAATACTTTTCCAAAGTAGTTATACCATCTTATATTCCCACAGCAATGTATAAGAGTCCCAGTTGCTCTACATTCTTGATGACACCCGATAATAGCAATCCTTTTAGTGTTGTCCTAAAGACTCAGTGCTTGTTTACATGGTTCATTTGGGCAGTTTGAGTATCTTCTTTTGTTTACTGTTTGGTCAAGTCTTTTGCTCATTTTAAAATTCAGTTGTCTTTTTAAAAATCAAATTGTAATAGCTTATCTGGATACAAGCCCTTTGTTAGTTACATGATTTACAAATATTTTCTCTAAGTGTATGGATTGCCAATTTCTTTTATATATATATTTATTTCAAGCAGGGGGAGCGAGAAAGAGGGGGTTCAATTTTCTTTTTGTTTTGAGACAGAGTCTCACTCTGTCACCCTGGGTAGAGTGCAGTGCTGTCATCATAGCTCACTGCAACCTCAAACTCCTGGGCTCAAGTGATCCTCCTGCCTCAGCCTCCCAAGTAGCTGGGACTACAGGCCTGCACCACGATGCCTGGCTAATTTTTCTATTTTCAGTAAAGATAGTACCTTACTCTTCCTCAGGCTGGTCTCAAACTCCTGAGCTCAAGCAATCCTCTCACCTTGGCCTCCTGGAGTGCTAGGATTACAGGTGTGAGCCACTACACCCAACCTAATTAATTTTCTTAAAAATGCCTTTTGATGAACAGAAGTTTTTAATTTTGATGAGGTCTAATCTATCAGTTTTTTTCTTTAATTAATTATTTCTATGATATGACAAATCTTTGCCCCACGGTTGCAAAGATGTGCTTCTAGGTTTGCTTCTAGAAGCTGTATAATTTTAGCTTTTATGTTAAGGTCTGTTATCTACTTTGGGATTTTTGCATTTTTATTTTCAATAAATTTTATTATATATGTTTAAGGTATACAATGTGATGTTACAAGATACATATAGTAAAATGGTTATTATAATGAAATAAATTGATATATCTATCATATTATCTATTTTGAATTAATTTTTTATGAATGGAGTAAGGTAAGATAAAAGTTTCTTTTTTATTTTTCCCCTTCTATGGACCTCCAGTTGTTTCAGCATCATTTTAAAAAAGAGTTCTTCTTCCCCCATTAATTATTTTGACACCCTGGTCAAAAATCATTTTACCATTAGTAAAATGTGGGTTTATTTCTGTATTCTATCTTGCTATTTGCTTATCCTATAGCAAATACCACACTGTATTAATTACTACAGCTTTATACTATAATAAGATTCAGAGTCAGATAGAGTACATCCTCTGAAATTGCTCTTTTCCTATGTGGCTTTGACTATTCTAGTTCCTTTTCATTTCTGTATGTATTTTATGGATTAACTTGTCAATTTCAGAAAATTTAACTGAGATTTTGACTTTATAAAATGAGTTTGAAGTCTTACCCCCATTCTCTATTTTCCAAACAAATTTGTATAATATTTGTATAATAACTTCTTTAAATGTTTGATAAAATTTTCCAGTAGAAACATCTGTGCTACATTTTCTTTGCACAAAGGTTTTAATTACAAATTTGATTTATGTGATAGACTCAGGGTTATTCTAATATTCTGTTTCTACCTGTGTCAGTTTTGGTAATGTATAAGGAATTTATACTTTTTGTCTATTGTTGAATTTATTTGTATAAAGTTGTTCATAATATTCTCTTAAATTATATTTCTCAATATCTGTGGGATTTATAGTGCTATCTCTATTTCATTCCCAATTTTGGTTATTTGTGACTTTTCTCTCATTTTTTTATTAGTCTAGTTGGGTATTTATTAATTCTTTCAATAACCATCATCTAGCTTTCTTGACTTTCCTATTTTCTTCTCTCTTTAAAAAAAATTTTCAATTATGTCTATTTTTACTTTTATTTTTTTTTCTACTTTGTATTTACTCTTCTAGTTTATTCAGATGGAAGGCTGGGTCATCGATTTCACATTTTTTTTCTTGTCTATTATAGGCATTTAATACTACAGATTTCCATGTAAGTACTACATTAGCTGTAGCCTAAAAATTTTGATATGTTGTGTTTTCATTATCATTCAGTTTAAAACAATTTTTAATTTCCCTTGGAGGTTTTTTTTTTTTTTTACCCGTAAGCTAGTTAGAAGTATATTTTTAATTTTCCAATTTTAATAATAATTTTTTTGCCATCTTCTTTTAATGAATTCTAATTTAGCACTGGTGTGGTGGTCAGAGAACATATTCTATATGATTTCTACCCTTTGAAATCTATCAAGACTTGTTTCATAGCCCAGAATATAGTGAATGTCTCACAAAAGAAGACTATATATTCTTGTGTTATTTGGTATGGTATTCTTTAAATTTTAATTATATCAAATCGATTGATAGTGTTTTTTAAGTCTATTATCTTGAGTTTTTATTGACCTTTTCTATCAATTAATAAGAGATTAGTGTTAAAGTCTCCAATTATGATTATAGATTTATCTATACTTTCCTTTAGTTTTATCAGTTTTGCTCCATATAGCTGAGAGCTTTGTTATTAGGTACATTCAAATTTAAAATTGTTCTATCTTATGGATGCTATATGTGATAATTAATTTTGGGAGCCACCTTGACTGAATTAAGGGACACCCAGATAGCTGATAAGCATTATTTCTATGAGGGTGTTTCTGAAAGAGATTGACATTTGAATCAGTAGACTGAGTAAAGAAGATCGCCATCCGATCACCTGGAGGCTCAGACAGAACAAAAAGGAAGAGGAAAGGCAACCTCATTCTTTCCCTTCTGGAGTTGGGACACCCTCTTATCCTGCTCTTGGACATCAGAACTCTAGGCTCTCTGGTCTTTGGATTCTGGTATTTGCACCAGTAGCCCCCCCAAGTTTTAGGCCTTTCGCCTTGGAGTGACAGTTATACCATCAACTTCCTTGATTCTGAGGCTTTTGGACTTGATCTGAGCCATGCTCTACTGGCTTACCTGGTTCTCCAGTTTACAGACAGCATATTGTGGAGCTTCTCAGCTTCCATAATTGCATGAGCCAATTCTTTTAATAAATCCCCTTTCATCTCTCTCTCTCTCTCTCTCTCTCTCTCTCTCTCTCTCAGCCGGCGTGTGGCGCATGCCTGTAGGCCCAGCTACTCGGGAGGCTGAGGCAGAAGGATCACTCGAGCCCAGGAGTTTGAGGTTGCTGTGAGCTAGGCTGACGCCACGGCACTCACTCTAGCCTGGACAACAAAGCGAGACTCTGTCTCAAAAAAAAAAAACAAAAAACAAAAAAAAACAAAAAAAACAAGGTTTAATGACTGACCAAACCCTGCTTCCTCTTTGTAATCAGAATACTTTTATTTTTAAAATATTATATTTTACCGTCAGCACCTTATATTCTGGCCAACATCATGTCTCCACAATTCCCTTTCTTAAAAACAGTCTTCACCTGGCCAGGCGAGGTGGCTCACGCCTGTAATCCTAACTCTCTGGGAGGCCGAGGCAGGCGGATTGCTCAAGGTCAGGAGTTCAAAACCAGCCTGAGCAAGAGCGAGACCCCATCTCTACTATAAATAGAAAGAAATTAATTGGCCAACTGATATAAGTATAAAAAATTAGCCGGGCATGGTGGCACATGCCTGTAT